TCATTTTGTTAGTGCCATAACATTGGGCGGGGAACTGACTTTTTTTTCCCTAACATCTGCCGCCCAAGCCCATGTTCCTCTCCCTCCTCTCACTGTCTTTTCTGCCTAAAACTATCGGCTATTATTTTATGAAAACTAACTAACCTAACCTATAATCATCGCACATCCTACAGCCTATGGGATATTTCGATGGTATAAACAATTTCACATACGTAGATACACCGTGTAGTGGTGGTGTAAGAATATCCACTACCCCATATCATCCCGTGGGAGTCGTAAGAGGCGACAGAGGGAATCAAATAAGGCGATGGGCAGCAGTGTCTTCCTAATAACGACTAAAAATAAAAAAAACTGCGGTTACCAACCCGTTTGCCAAGCGTGACAATTATGGTAAATATCCGTCCTATGAGGCAATCTATGAGGGAGGCCCATTTTCATCAGCGGACTTTAATGGGCTTCATTTCCCCTTTGTCGCCTCTTACGACACCCTCGCGACGATATGGGGTAGTGGATATTCTCACAGCGTCACTACATAGGTAAAATTACACACGTTTTTATTTTTATATATATTTTTATTTTACGTGGTAGAGCCATGCTGCAGCTATATTATGGTTGTAGCACGAATGGGTCGGCTCGACCGGGGAAGGACCACGCTCTCACAGAATACCAGCGTAAAACAGCAGCTTAACGCTGCTGTGTTTCGTATGGTGAGTGTAGAGAACCGGAGACCCATTTTACTGGAAACGAGGCATTCCATCTTAGTCCTCACGGGTGACAACGCATCTGCATTCTGATTCGTAATCGAAGATAGATGTAGATGTCTATGGGCCACAGCAACCACTTACCATCAGGTGGACTGTGTGCTCGTTTGTCACCCTTATACTATAAAAAAAACTTATATTTTTTTATAGGATAAGGGCCTTATCCTATAAAAAATATTAATGATGACCATGTTTATATTAGTTCTTCAAACACGGTTTTTACATTTTTAAAAGTTTTATTTGTACTGAATTCAGAAAGGAATTGCTAAAACTTACCCATTCCTCCGCAAGGGTCTCACAAATTCGCTCAGTGTCCAAATGGACACAACAAACACAATATACGATTTACCTAAAAGTACTAAATAAAACTTTAAATAACTAATTACCGTGGCGATTAATTTAGATATTATAATTGATTTGTTATGACTTTTTATGAACAATGGGCGGCAATCGCCTTGAATTATAATATACACGTGTTTTGAACAGCAGCAAAATCTAAATAAAATCTTTTGACTAAATTATATAAAATATTTGTTTAATTGAAATCTCCCATCAACGCCGTTTAGTAGATTTAGTAGCTCCAGAGATATCCACAAACATCTCCATCTCCTCGTAGAGATATGTCGAGGTTCGAGCGTAGACCTGAATGACTTTCAACGAGTACCATTTGGTGATTTAGTGTAAAAGGTACGCAACCCTTTTCGACACACTCCCAATCTTCACAACGTCTTGTATTCATTTTAAAACTTTATTAATTTCACCTTATACATATTAAAGAGTCGGAATCGGAAGTATGGCAAGAGATCGAAGTTTTTTTTTAGTTTTTAGGGAAAGTTGAAAAAGTGTCCAACTGTATAGTGAAAATAGAGGTTCCAAAACCTACCACAATAGCGCTGGCGTCTGAAAAACTACGATATGAATATAGCTGTTGTAGAGGGAGTGAAGTCAGCTGAATTCAAATATTTAAAAATTTTCATGACTAGAGTAGTTAGAAAAATGTCAGTATATAAAATCTCAACTATTTACGTAGTACTAAACCAAGCGGATTGGTCTGTACTTGTTTATTTCTCCATCTTATTCTAATTACTTTTGGCGTTTTTTTTTTTAAACTTATCCTATGCTGCCGCAGCGCCACCCTTATTGGACGCGTTTTTACTGACACTTATTCATGTACAGAGATTGTCCTCCTTCTACTCCATGAACTGAACTGTAGCCATATTCAAACAAAGAACTTTACAGATGCGTTGTGCCCTCTGAGGACTAAGATGGAATGCTTCACAGCCTGTTATTATTCTGGCTCTCCATACCCTCCAGACAGGAACCCACGGCGACAGATAAAGGGAAAAGGTTGGTACATACCCCGACGGACTTCTAGAGGCGGACCTCTAATTGTAAGAGATTAATGTTATCTATGGGCCACAGACAAGCTTATGCTATAGATGGAATACCTCGCACTTTAATATAATTGTCTATTGACTCTCAATCCAGAACTTTTACGTGGTAGAGCCATGCTGCAACTATATTACTGGTATAGTTGTAGCACGAGTGGGTCGACTCAAGCGGGCCAGAACCACGCTCTCACAGAATATCAGCGTAAAATAGCAGCTTAACGCTGCTGTGCTTCTTGTTGACAACCGGAGACCCTTTTTACTGGAAACGAGGCATTCCATCTTAGTCCTCACGGGTGACAACGCATCTGCATTTTGATTTGTCATCGAGGATAGATGTAGATGTCTATGGGCCATAGCAATCACTTACTATCAAGTGGACTGTGTGCTCGTTTGTCAGCCTTATACTATAAAAAAAAACTTAAGAGTTGCAAAGCTGTTTAGTGGCAGAAACAAAAGAATAGCACCAACCATACTGCCTGCTATGGGAATGACCTCCTATCCTAAACAGTCTCCCTATAGAATATATTTTTTTAAAAAACATGCGTGAGTGTTGTAGTACACTCGGTTGGAATGACGTTCCTTTCGTAGTATATTATTATTGATAAACGAATTATACTATTGATTAACAAATACAAATAAATGAATTACTAGCATCTATTAAAATTAAGCGTTATTTAAAATATTATTTCTTCCATGGCACGATTAAAAAAGTGCGAGGGAGATGGACTAAGCGTCATTTAAAATAATATTTCTTTCATAGCAAGATAAAAAAGTGCGAGAGAGATCGCACTATAGGAAGGGGGTCAAGACACTTTTTCTCGTCTAACTACCATCCGTCAAATTCGTACCATGCGATTAGGAACTTAGCTCCAATTAAAAAAATATATAAAACACGGCCATGACCCATGAGCCATCTGCACATTGACTCTCTTTTACGAGATCGTCATACCATCTTGTGTGGGGTCGCTTTACACTCGCTTATAGGTACGATGCTGCCAACCTTTCTTCCCCATCGCTTGTCGGTTCTTCGAGCTATATGTCCAGCCCATTGCCACTTTATCTTAATGATCCGTTGAGCTATATCAGTTACTTTGGTTCTATGGTCAATGTGGATATTTTTTCTTAGTCTTTATCCATAGCTCGATGAGCAACTTCAAGTTTCCTTAAACGAGTAGTAAAGGACAACGTCTCTATTACGTGTATACAAATATATATATTATTTTAGGTATCTTCGGATTTTTGTTTTACAATTGCTTTGTGGGTATGAACGTAATTTCATACCTTTTCATCAGCGGCATCACTAACTTTTTATTACGAGGAATTTATTTAATTTTTAGTCATTCAAAATATTCAGTGTTATATCAACAAAAAATATATATTCAAAGAATTCCAAATTGCAGTTGAATTTCACGGACAACACTTGGAATGGTTTTAGAACCAGAGTTCAATGACAATCTAGTGAAAATAATACAGCGCCTTGAGCAAACTAATTGTTTTATCGTACCTATCCATTTCGTACCCCCATCGAGTAACTCTGTAGAGTTCAAAGTTCAAACATTGTTCCATTTAGGACTGTCAATGGCTGTTTTTGTTTTCATACTAGCTGGTACCCGGGTACGATACGTGCGCCACCTATTGTAAGTTATTTGTAATATGCCTATAAAGGTTATAGGCATATTACAACAACTCACAAGTGCAAGCAATAAGTTTATTTTATTTTTTTATTTTCTAGGATAGTCACCCTATATAAACCCTAAATAAACGAGCACACAATCCACCTGACGGTAAGTGGTAACTGTAACCCATAGACTTCTACATTTATCCTCAATAAAGAATCAAAATGCAGATGCGTCGTTACCTATGAGGACTAAGATGGAATGCATTTTTCCAGTAAAATAGGTCTCCGGTTCTCTTCACTCACCATACGAAACAGCAGTATCAATCTGCCATTTTAAGCTGGTATTCTGTGAGAGCGTGGTACTTCCCCGGTCGAGCCGACCCATTCGTGCTACAACTGTACTTTTTTTTATAGGAGAGGGGGCAAACGAGCATGCGGCTCACCTGATGGTAAGTGACTACCGCCGCCCATGAACAACTGCAACACCAGGGAGGGAATTGCACATGCGTTGCCGGCCTTTTAAAAAGGAGTACGCTCTTTTCTTGAAGGTCCCTAAGTCGTATCGTTCCGGAAAAATCGCTGATAATCGATTCCACAAGGAAGTCATGCGAGGAAGAAAACATCTTCTAAATCGCACAGTGGTGGACCGCCAATCATCCAGATGGTGTGGATGGTATCGGGAGCTCTGCCGCGATGTGCGTTCGTGAAATTTGGCGTCCGGGATTAATCCGAACAATTCCTCAGCACACTCCGCGTGGTAAATGCGAAAGAAAATGCAAAGGGATGCAACATCTCTTCGCAGTGCCAATGAATCGAGCCGATCGGAAAGGACTCGGTCGTCGACGATTCGAGCCGCTCTGCGTTGGATGCGGTCAAGTGGAAGGAGCTGGAGCTGGAGCCCCTGCCTAGAGATGGGAACAGTATTCCATGTGAGGCCGATACTATTAATATAGCTGCAGCATTGCCTACCACGTATAAATAATCTGATGAATAGTATGGCAGCGCATAAAATACGAACAAACAAAAATTAATTTTTATACATTAGATAATAATTTTATAAAATAATCATAAATAACATATATAACATAAGTAAAGTGACCTTTTGCAATTTACTCAGACTTCAGGTAAAAAGGTAACAGATCACTGGTGTGATCAAGGGATGCTGTTAATATTAAACCAAACAACTTTCTTATATAAATTATAAAATTAACTTTATTTTGTATTTTATTGTCAATCATCGTCATCATCATCATTATCATCATCACTGTCCTGCTCGGCTTCCCTGCTCTTCAGCTTCGCTTCCAACTCTTTAGCCGCGTTAAACACACCGCTGGTTTGCGCGTTACATATATAACATCGGGTCGATTTCTTATAATTATCCAATGCACATTTCTCGCAGAAGTAGTGTTTGCATCTGAAAATAAGTTATTGTTAAGAATGATCGTAAAAAATAAAAGGAAATACGAACAAGTGAAGGTAGAATGGTAACCTCCCACTTGTTTTAGCAGTATAAACTATCGCATAGGCTACGAAGAGGCATCAGTCTGTAATTCCAAGAGTCCCATTGTCGTTATTATGCCCGTTGGGGTATTCTACTAGTGTAGGCAAGGAAGGTCGTGTTGCTGAGAGGTGGCTGCCCTGTGTTACATTGAGATGGGTAGTGATGCTGTTGGTTTGCATACTTTGGCGTTATCATGTAATTGGGTCCTGACAGTAAGCAGGGTTTTTTTTGCCGAGTAGTGTTCTTTTATTTAAATACATTGGAGGATAATAATTTCTAACATCAGAAGTGGAATAGTTTCTTACATTATTATAATTATAGCAAAAAAAAATTAAAAACTGAAACAATGATATATCCCTACCCTAAAGCTTCCAAAGAACTGATCATTTTCCCGCGCAAAGCTATAGGTACTTAGATGTTTTTTTTTAAAATAAGGATGACAAACAAGCACACAGTCCACCTGAGGGTTAGTGGATGCTGCGGGCACATAGACATCAACATCTATCTCAATTGAGAATCAAAATGCATATGCGTTGTCACCCCAGGAACTAAGATGGAACGTCTTGTTTCCAGTAAAAATTGTTTATATTATTTTTATTTATTTATAGGGTGACAAACGAGCACATATTCCACCTGATGGTAAGTGATTGCTGCGGCTCGTAGACATCTACAACTATACTCGATTACGAATCAAAATGCAGATGCGTTGCCACCCTTGAGGACTAAGACGAAGTGCCCCGTTTCCAGTAAAAAGGGGGTCCGGTCCTTTACACTCACCATACGGAACACAGCATCGTTAAGCTGCTATTTTGCGCTGGTATTCTGTGAGAGTGTGGTCCTTCCCCGGACGAGCTGACCCATTCGTGCTACAACTATACTACTAATATAGCTGCAGCATGGCTCTACCACGTAAAACGCATTTCTATACATTGTTTACGCAATCACATAACATAACACCACGTTTGTACTCTCTAAAGGGGTAACGCAGATGTGTTCAGTATATCACGGTACACCCTTATTTTGAAGTCTGATGTACAAAATGTTTAATTTTACTTTTTTTTTATAGGATAAGGGTGACAAACGAGCACACAGTCCACCTGATGGTAAGTGGTTGCTGCGGCCCATAGACATCTACATCTATCCTCTATTACAAATCAAAATGTAGATGCGTTGTCACCCGTGAGGACTAAGATGGAATGCCTCATTTCCAGTAAAAAGGGTCTCCGGCCACCTGCACTCACCAAGCGAAATGCAGAGGTAAAGCTCTACTTCACGCTGGTATTCTGTGAGGTCGTGGTACCACCCCGGTTCGAGCCGGCCCATCCGTGCGACAGCAAAAGCCGCCGCGTGGCTCTACCACTGTTATAAAATGTTTAATTTTACTACATGTTTAATAAAGTTTTTGTTACATCGTTTATAATTTTTCAACAGACTTCAGACGGTACCCAATTCGACTGTATGTTTTATTTTTATATGTGTTACCTCATAACCTTTTACTGGTTGAACCGATTTCAATTATTCTTTTTTTATTTGCTTCACATGTGGTCCCACATAAATTTGATCAAGGTCTGACCAAAAATTTTTGAGTTATTCTTAATAATTTATATTGAAGTCGGTTGTACAACATTTTTAATGTTAAATTATTTTATAGAAATCATCAAAAACCATTTATCACATTTTACAAAAAAAAAATGTGCATTTTTCAAATAATAATATGTAACCTAGATCTCTCCTCGTATTACTAACTGTTCGTGAAGTTTATACACAATCGGTTCAACCATTTCGATGATTAGCCCGCACAGACAGACAGACAGACAAAAACATAGCCCAGCTTCAACTTCAATTTTATTTATAAAGCGACGACTAGGGCCGGCTTCACTTGGGTTGCATTCATTAATGTAGCGTAATTTAGAATTAAGATTATCATCAAAGACCATTTATTTTACCAATTTATCGATTTTACAGAAAAAGTACAAGATTTTAGGATAAAAAATAAAATAAATCACTCCTAGCATTGTGACACTCCCAACTGTTTCTCAAGTTTTATTACAACCGGTTTATCCATTCCGAAGAGCGCGGACAGACAGACAGAAGGACAGACAAACATTTTAAAAATGGTTCACGCAAATAGCTCCCTCAGCTCAATATAAGACAGACAGTTATTTCGATATTAGAGACACATACTGCAATTTAATTTATATATACAGAATAGCGACCCGTCCCGGATTCGCCTGGGTAGTACTTTAACATCAAAGACTATTTATTTTATTTTATCAATTATTATCTTTAAGACTTTCTTTCTTCTTTACCAAGATAAGCTCAAACAGCCAGACAGGTAGACAAATATTTAAAAAAAATGGTTGCTGATATCAATGTCATGCAAATATCCCCTACGATTAATAAAAGATAGTTATTTCAATATTACAAACGGACACTTCAACTTTGTTTATATGTATAAAGATGTATAGATAGCACTTACTTTGTTACCACGGGATCTGTGAAGCTATTTCTGCAAATGAAACACTTGAAAGGTAGTTCGTCATCGCTGTGGATCTCGTAGTCGGAATCCCCACTTCCCCCCGCATCTCTGGCCGCGCTCCCCTCCACTTCCTCCCTCTCCAACTGCCACCCATGCTTGTAATCCGAGCGATCGTGAAGGAATTTGCATGAGTCTGGAATGGAAAATCTAGACTCAGGGCGCATCCTTATTCCAACTAGCGTTATACTACTATGTCTTCCATATTGAATTTCGGTCACAGTGACCAGTCTCAACGGAGCTTAGACTGCGCAGGACAGGATTAAAGCCGAACGTCCAACGCAAACTAAACTAACTTAGTTTATCTTAGCTCGCATAGCTGAGCCAGTTCGTATATACCTAGCTCAGCTGGCTTAGTTTGCGCTGGACGCACATGTATGAAAAACTGGCTCTTACATATTACATATGTATATTTCATATTTGTTCTGACATAGATAATATTTATATGTATTGTGTATATATGTAGTGTATGCATGTATATGTGTATGTATGTATTTATATATGTATATATTGTGTGTACTTAAGTATATATGTCTACGTATGTGTGTATATGTATATTTATATGTATACATGTGTATACAATTTTTTTAGCCCTTTCTATATTGATTACTGCTGCACCGCCTCTTGTTCGTATATCTCTGTTTAGCCTAATAGTTGACTGGGAGAATGCCCTATGGCATTAAGTTCGCCATATATACAACTTTGTGTTTGAAAGATTAAATAAATAACTAATACTGTAGCGTGCAGTTACTGGTTAACAAATGTGGTAGAGCCATCTATATTTAGGTTGCAGCACGAATGGGTCTACTGGACCGGGGAAGGACCATACTCTCATAGAAAACCAGTGTAAAATTGCAGCTTAATGTTGCTGTGTTTCGTATGTTGAGTATTGAGAACCGTAGACCCTTTTTACTGGTAACGAGTCATTCTCTCTTAGTCCCTTGTGATGGGCTGTATTGGTGATGATGATGATTCAATATCATGGCGTTTCTACAAATATTGTATATGTTGTTTTAGAAAAAAATGTTATTTTGCGTTATACAAAAGGTAAAATCTTTTCGCGTGACTACTCTTATCTGTAATTTTTTGCTCCAACGGCCCGAAGCACATGCTACGCCTGTGAAAATATTATCATTTAAACAATACGTACCGCCAAAGCCACAAAATCCCGTTTCTTTGTAGTCCTTACAGATGTCAGGTTGGTAATCCCATCTGGCAATCAAGAAATATACATTCAATGTAGATTTCCATACAAACTCATGAAAATAAGTAAAATCAGTCCAAGTAAGATAGTTAAACACAATTTTATCAATTTATAGATACCAAAAAGAGAAGTACAGCAGAACACCGATTATCCGAACACCGATTAATCGCATAACTGGCGATTCGGTCCTCAGCGTAGTAAAAAATTAAAACCAAGTACTGTAAGTATTTCGTATATTATCTGCCGCGGCGCTGATGCTCTCTATCTCTCTCTCTTTCTCTCTCTCTCCCTCTCTCTCTCTCTAGTGCACTACTTACGTATTGTAGAACTAAGGCCGGCAACGCATCTGCAATTCCCCTGGTGTTGCGGTTGTTCATGGGCGGCGGTAGTCACTTACCATCAGGTGAGCCGCATGCTCGTTTGCCCCCTCTCCTAAAAAAAAAAAACTATGTTTGTTAAACTTAATAATGTTTATTCTATGTGTTACAGTTCGTTTTTCTTTATTACATACCAGTTTATGTCCAATTATCCTAATTTTCGACTATCCGAATCGACCCCGGTCTCAATTAATTCGGATAATCGGCGTTCTACTGTACCCTCAAAATAAGGAAATATGACAAAAGATTTCTTTATAAAGATGAAGGAATAAATTCAAGCCATTCGAGGGTTCAATTGGATGATGAAGAAGTTTTATGTTATTTTTTTTATATATATATATATATACAGGAAAAAGGCATCCGAAATGGAAATACTGATGGTCGCAATGCAACAATGGAATTGTTAAAACTAACCTTACTAACTATACGAAATAAATATTTATAAATGAACAAATTTATTTTAATTAGGCTCGATTTTTCAATCATCAGAAACAAGTTATTCATGTTATACAAGTGGTAAAATTAAAAATGTTGTACTACCGACTTCAATATAAATAAAATGAGAACATCATCCATGTAGTTGAAGTCAATTAAATACGCATTATTAAGGATAACTTAAAAAGCAACGGTCAGATCTTGATAAAATTTATATGGGACCACATGAGAAATATGCTTGTACTGTATTTAATTATAATGTCTGTAACCACAATATTTCTGGCAAATAAATTATTATTATTATGTAATATAATAAAATTGACTGTGAGTGGCAGTGTAAGAATATCCACTACCCCGTATCGTCCAATGGATGTCGTGAGAGTCGACAGGAGTAAACAAATTAGGAGATGGGCAGCAGCATCTTCCTAATAACAAATTAAAAAAAAACCTGCAGCTACCAAACTGCCAGCCAAGCATGGAAAATAATCCCCTCTGTGAAATAACTTTTGATAGGAGGTTATGGTAAAGGATGTTATATATATTTGTTTACATTACCTCACAGTAGCCCTTAAGTTGGCAGGCGCTCTAATGGGGCCTTTCCTCACCAAACCTGAGCTGGCATTACCAGCTGCAGTGTCCCGTTTTTTGTAATATTGTGCATAGTTGTTTATACCGCGGTAAATCTTAAACGTATAGAACGTATTATTTGATAAATGTATTAGTACCTTTTTAGGTGGTAGAGCCATACTAAAACTTTATTCAAGTTGTAACACGAAAGGGTCGGCTCGACCGGAGAAGGACCACACTCACATAATACTAGCGTAAAATAGCTGCTTAATGCTGCTGTGTTTAGTATGGTGAGTGTAGAGAACCGGTGACGCATTTTATTGGAAACGAGGCATTCCATCTTAGTCCTCAGGGGTAACAACGCATCTGCATTTTGATTCGTAATTGAGTGTAGATGTAGATGTATATAGGCCGCAGCATCCACTTACCATCAGGACGACTATGTGCTCGTTTGTCACCCTTATTCTATTTAAAAAAATGTATAAAAAATTACAGTCTATATAGTGCCCATAGCTGAACACAGGCCTCCTCCAATTTCTGTGAAGGATTTTTAGGGTCAGGATATATCCGCAAAAATGCCAAGTGCGTGATAACGGACTTCACATGTTTTATAATTTTTCAACCATGCAGGTTTCCTCGCAATGTTTTCCTTCACTGCACATGGCAAATTGCAATTAACAATTTCGTTGGTGCCAGCGGAAATCTAAACTGGTTTACTCTCGTGATATTTATGACTACTTGACGGCCCTTGACGGATCTATGTGTTATTATATGTTATTAAAATTATACTAATCGAAATTTAATTAACATAAAAATTACATTTTTGAATTACCCACCAGGTTTTGCCACTAATTCGAAAAATACCTTAAATTTAATCAGTGAGAAAACAGCATTATTTTTGTCCAGAGTAAACATTCACAATATTGTCATAATAATATTATGTGCAACATAATATTATTATTTCCTTATTTTAGACACAGTATGGTGAATTTTTTGTGGCAAAATGTTATCCACAGATAAAAGATTTTCTCATGTACTGTGGAGTTTACATACATAAATTGCAAATATCCCGAAAAGCATCCAGATCTCGAACAAATATTTGTAGACCATACATATACTTGTTCCTTGTAGGATGACAACATTTTATATAAGAGGGTGCAAACGAACATTCGGCTTCCGTGATGATAAGTGTTGTCGTGTTGTGTTGTTGTGTTATAATAGTTTGACACTTGAACTTGTTTGAAATAAGAATTACATTAGAGATTAGAATTTCGTGTTGACAGAACTTATATTTATAAATTATTTTTAAAATAAATTGGTTCAAATTTGGTACTATTTCTAATTAATATTCATAAATTCGGAAATAATTATAAGGAAACAAATCGAAAATTTGATCAAAATATACAATTTATTTTTACGCGGTAGAGCCATGCTGCAGCTATATTATTGCTATAGTATAGTTGTAATACAAATGAGTCGGCTCGACCAGGGAAGGACCACGCTCTCACAGAATACCAGCGTAAAACTCTCACAGAGTACCAACGTAAAATAGCAGCTTGATGCTGCTGTGTTTTGTATGGTGAGTGTAGAGAACCAGAGACCATTTTTACTGGAAACGAGGAATTCCACCTTAGTCCTCACGGGTGACAACGCATCTGCATTTTGATTCGTAAACAAGGATAAATGTAGATATCTATGGGCCACAGCAACCACTTTCTATCAGATGGACTGTGTGCTCCTTTGACACCCTTATGCTATAAAAAAAGACAGACGTACATATATCATTTATAACAGTATACATATTACCTTATCATCAGCTTGTCCCTGTAACTCTTCATTAATTTTCTGGGCCTTCTCAAAAATTGTTTGAGCATCTTTATCCCTTTCCGTATCTAATTCATAAGTTGCTGTTGCATTCTCTCGCTGCTGCTGTACTGAGAGTGTTGTTCGGGCCCGTGAGATCTGAAATGAATTACTAAGGTTGTTATAACACCTTATATAAAAGGAAGTGTTATTCATAATTTTTGCTAGATTTCAAAAATGGTGGACATTCAAATAAATGCTAATGGAGGACATTTAGTTTTTTTTTTCGGTCAGTTATAAGCTAGTTTTAAAGTTAATTTTTTTAATTTGGTTTGGTTATATTTCACCATTTTTTTTTTCAAAATTAACATTGGTGGTCCCTCATAAATTAAAAAAATCCACACCTAAAGCCTTTAATTCTTTTATACTTCAGAAGATATAATGCAAAATTAATTTTATTCTAATGATTTCTTATATTTACGCGAACACTACTAAAAATTAATAATTTTTAATTTGGAGGTAGCCGTGGTTAAAAGGCTTATTACATTACACAATTTATCGGGCCCTGTCCATCGTGTGCCCTGCCTACCAGACAGGGTGCTGCTTATTACACTACGCTAGAAATCGCTTCCTGCCTCAGTTGTTACTCGAACGTGGAAATGATTGCACGTCTAGCATTATGGCGCAGACTTTATCTAAACGTCAAAAAATTGCTTTATTGTTTTTTTTTACGTGGTAGAGTCATGCTATAGCTATATTAGTAGTATAGTTGTAGCACGAATGGGTCGGCTCGACCGGGGAAGGACCACGCTCTCACAGAATACCAGCGTAAAATAGCAGCTTAAAGCTAGGGTCCCACGGCCTGCCGGGCGACAGGCCGCGCCAGGCGTTGCCCCGCCTGTATGGGCCTGTCGCGGCCCGTACTGAGCGTTCCCACGGCGTGTGCCGGCCTGGTGCGGGCTGTCGACTGACATTCCAACATGTGAAGTGATACGGAGCGCATGGCTGCGTGTGCGGCCGCGGTGGTTTTATTCAGTGGTGAACGTTTGATAAACCAAGCAAAAAGAAAGCAGAAAAAACGACGCTGGTGGGTGTCATCATTCAACAAAAGTCGTTCTTGTTTTTATGTTGAGGTGACGAACTATTCCAAAGCGCTGCTTCATTTTCATAGAGTTAAAAACTGGAATATAAGCTCGTTCGTCCATTCCATCATGAGCATGTACGCGCAAGCGCCACCTCAGTTGAAATGAACGATTGCAACCGACGCAGACGCGCCCGTACAGGCCGCGACAGGCGCCGTCGCGCCGCGCCGCGCCGCGCCTTTGATCTTACCGACTCCCGATGGATCGGACGGGCGACAACAGGCCACCACAGGCCTCATCGGATGCGATGGTTCCCACGGCCTGTTGTCCGGCCTGGCGCGGTCTGACCTGTGACAAAACAGGCCGTGGGACCCTAGCTTAAGACTGCTGTGTTTCGTATGGTGAGTGTAGAGAACCGGAGACCCTTTTTACTGGAAAAGAGGCATTCCATCTCAGTCCTCACGGGTGACAATGCATCTGCATTTTGATTCGCATACGAGGATAAATGTAGGTATCTATGGGCCACAGCAACCACTTACCATCGGGTGGACTGTGTGCTCGTTTGTCACCCTATCCTATAAAAAAAACTTTGGCTGGCGGTAACGTGCAAGGCCAAGCTAAAAAAAAGGAAGGAAAGTTAAATGTGGATGAAAAAATATTTGCTCCTGAGAGAAAAACTATCGAATATGCAAATAGTCAGCGTTTTGGACCCAACAGACCTACGAAACTATTTTAAAGAGTAGGTGAAAACCAATTCGACGAGTTATTAAGCTTAGTAACGCCTTTAATAGAAAAAAAAATACTTTAATGATTTCTTATATTTACGCGAACACTACGCATTGAATAAAACTACTTGTATGGATTCTATCGCGTTTAATTTTTTTTTAATATATTCCCGACGTTTCGGATCTTTTACAGCAACCAGTCCCCCGTGACCATGAGTGGTAAAGCACCCGAAACGTCGAGAATTAATAAAAAAAAAAATTAAACGCGATAGAATCCGTAAAAGAAGTTTTATTCAAAAGAATACTTTTTTAAGAGAGATTGGTTGTCACTTTACGATTTTGGCCACTGGAAACTCCTATCAAGATTTGATAAGGAATTTCTTTGTAGATGTCGATGACATTGAGAAGGATCTTTTTCTTTAGCGCATGACATAAATACGAGTAATGATTTAGAGAGTAGATCGACATAGTAGAACTTTAAATAAACAAACGTGTAGACTCTGCGCATGCGGCCACGCAACTGAGCTCCCTGCCTCCCTGTCTCTTATTACACTACACGATCCACAGCGCGGCAGGGAAGCAGGGCGGTCGGAACCACTCGGTCGCCCTGTTTAGGGACCCTGACTCCCTGTTTCTTATTACACTACCCTGTCCCTGCGCGCAGGGCCCGAGAAATCGTGTAATGTAATAAGCCTTTAACTATGAGATTGAAACGTCAAACACCTCAGTTGACCCCCTGTGCCCATGGGTGCTGTAAAGTGCTTGAAACGTCAGGAGTATAAAATAAGTTAATATACGCGATAAAATCCGTAAAAATAGTTTTATGTATTTTATTCTTTCTAGTTCCTTAAAGTCGGTTTACTTTATATTTAAGTTTAAGGATATAGTTGCGTTCTAGGGTCACTTTCGATTTAGACCAAATTTTTTTTACATGTTTACCAACATAAATGATGAAAAACTCTACCCAAGGTTAAATTTTAGACCTATCCAGAAGTATATTGCGCAAGCATAATTATATGTATTCTCTTTTGAGAAAATTATCCCCTCTGAGCACATCAACACTATCATCATCGTCATAATCATTACATCTCATCACAAGTACGCCGTTTAATGTAGACCTTCATTTAATGGGGATATTTGATATTCATGCATTGTTATCTAGAAAATGCATTGTGCATGCATCTTCTGTTTCAATATCTGTCCCCTCCACAGGATAAGTATTGGATTGTATTGGATTCTTTACACTGCCATAACATGAGGTCTGATGTCTTACTATAATTTAAAATTAAAAATTTTGTACAGCCGACTTCAATATAAGTTATTACGTATAACTCAAAAACTATTGGTCTGACCTTGATCAAATTCATATGGGACCACACGAGAACAATCAGCTTTCATATAAAAAAGAATCATCGAAATCGGTTCACCCAGTAAAAAGTTATGAGGTAACACACATAAAAAAAACATACGCGTCGTCGAATTGAGTACCGTCTCCTTTTTGGAAGTCTGCAGAAAATGTCAATTAGACAAATGTTTAAACAAGTCGATCAGTCCTATTACAAATATTAGTTTGTACTATATACTTCATTTCTGGTTGTATCAGGTTGCTTTAAGCCACTCTGCGAACTATGTAGAGGGCTATGCTGGGATTAAGAACCAGAGTAACTGACGTAGCACAAGATCAGTAAACCGAAGTGGCAACAAGCTGGCATGGAAGTGGCATGGTGAAATTAACGAAAGTATATGGTAGTAGTGTGGGCGATTAATTAGCATCTACATCCTTTTTGTAAGTCCATTCATTTCCAAGATTACACTTCCTGGTATAAATTTCTTGAAAGATTTTTACTAGGCAGGCATAGCAGCAAATGCAGAAAAAATATCTTCACACTAGTAATACTGCCTTCCTTCACTATGTGAGATTTATGTTTGACAGTATTGGATGGATTGAAGAGCTCCATGTTATGAAAATGATGCTGCAATGGATGTGCGAAGTTACGAGGCGATAGTCAGTCAGACAGTCAGTCTCTGAGTACATAATGTGGCAGATATGCTTTATGTTAGTGGGTTAAGATGGCATGGGCATGTCCTAGATAAGACAAAGTCACAAAGTCAGATATGAGTCACTGGACTCACTGCCAGGGGTGCTTCAAACCAAGCAAAGTGAAGATGGATGACCAGAAAAGTAGATCCTGGTAGCAGACAGCACAATGCATAGAAGAAGGAGATCTTTATACGCGGTAGAGCCAAGCTGAAGCTATATTATGGTTGTAGCGTGAGTGGGTTGGCTTGACCGGGGTAGAACCACACTCTCACAGCATACCAGCGTAAAATAGCGGCTTAACGCTGCTGTATTTCATGTGTTGAGTGTAGTGAACCGGAGACCCTTTTTACTGGATACGAGACATTTCATCTTAGTCCTGAGAGGTGGCAAAGCATCTGCATTTTGATTCTTAATCAAGGATAGATGTAGATGTGTATGTGCCACAGCATCCACTTACCATCAGGTGGGCTGTGCGCCCGTTTGCCACTCTCAAAAAAGAGAAAAAAGGAGAAGAAGTATTAGATATGCAGATTATGCAGTTGAGTTTAATAATTATAGGAAAAGTCAAGTCTTTACACCCATTACACTTAACCTAACATACGTAAATAATAATTTTATTGATAAAATAAAAAAATAAACCAAAACCACAACATATTATTATGTATGTTTCTTAGTGTAGACACAATTTACATGCTATTAATTGTATATTTTAAAAAATATTTAAGAAATATAAAATAGCTAGGGTAATAACTTATCTGCTAAGTGATTAGTTATCAGAAAAATTTATGATAAAAAGGCACCAAAAGAGTACCTACCTGAAGGCTATGTATAAATAAATAAGTTTATTATAGTCATATGCTTTATTTAAAAAGATACATTAATCCGTTGTTGGGACAACCTTTAAGTTATATTAGAAACGTCACTAACCTCCTCATCGCTACTACTGTCATTGCCAACTTCAAACTCTGGTTTTTGTCTTTTTGGGCCTGCAGTAGACTGAATATTTGGATTTGGTTTTTGTGGCTTCTTTGTTGGTAACACCACTATTTGCTCATTGGAATCTGAAGAGTTATTTTCTGGAAAAAAAAAAATAATTGTTTAAAAATTTAAAAAGTTGAAAAACTTTTTAAATTTTCAGATTAACTCTCGCAATTCAAACTACCAGTTAAGTGTTCGTTAAAGATCAGGACGTTGCAATGGTTTTTGAGAAATATTTTACTGATATTCCCATATTAATCACTGTCTTCTCCTGCCGTCGCCGAATCGTTACTTAAACAAAATGTAAATGCGTGTACAAAGAATTTTACATTTCAAAAAGTATCATCAAAAGATATTGTAAAATATTTTAAAACTATTGATGTTAAGAAAACTGCGGATCTGTGGGGGATTTCCGTTAAAATGATTGCGTCTATAATAGATACAATCGCGCCTCATTTAGCTATTATTTATAATACTAGTATCGAATCTGGTGTGTTTCCTGATTCAATGAAGCATAGTAAAGTAATACCTTTATTTAAATCTGGTAGTGCATTAGACCCCGCCAACTTTAGACCTATTTCTGTACTACCATCACTTAGTAAGATTTAAAAAAAAATCTTGATCAAATGTTAAATTTCTTTAATGTAAATAATTTACATCATAAAAATCAATTTGGTTTCACAAAGGGTTGCTCGACAACTGATGCCGGTGTTGAGCTGATTAAATATATCTTTAATGCATGGGAGAATTCACAGGATGCTTTGGGTATATTTTGTGACCTAACCAAGACCTTCGATTGTGTTCACCATGAAACATGAATCAGGAAACTTCAATACTACGGTGTAAGAAGTAATGCTCTTAAATTAATTATCTCAGATTTAAGTAAGAGAACGCAAAAAGTTGTAATTAACAGTATGAGCTCTTCCTGGTCGATGGTACAAATGGGCGTGCCTCAAGGCTCAATTCTCGGCCCCTTTCCGTTTCTTGTGTACATTAATGACTTACTTTACATAGTAGGGGATAACCATGACATAGTATTATTTGCAGATGACACTTCTTTAATTTTCAAATTAAGTCGACAATTACTAAAATATGACGAAGTAAATAATGCTATATCTAAATTAGTAAATTGGTCCAATGTTTATAATTTGCATTTAAATGGCACTAAAACGAAATGTATGAAATTCATGACTCCAAATGTCAAACAATTAAATACTAATGTAGTCTTAAATGGGGAGAAACTGAGTCTTGTAGATACCACCATTATTTTTGGAATCACGCTAGACGCGAGGCTTCAATGGAGCCCCCATATAAGAAAACTAGCAAGCAGACTTAGTTCTGCAGCATATGCTGTAAAAAAGATTAGAAGTCTTACCAGTGTTCAAACAGCTAGACTAGTTTACTTTAGCTATTTCCATAGCATAATGTCGTAATAGTAAAATACAATATATTTTACTATGGGGACACGCAGCTGACAATGAAATTATATTTGTTTTACAGAAGAGGGTAAATAAGAGCAATTTATGATTTAAAGCCTAAAGAGTCGCTGCGACAAAAATTTAAGTAAATTAATATATTAACTTTGGCCTCTCAATCATCATCATCATCATCATCATTACAGCCCTTCACAAGTCCACTGCTGAACATAGGCCTCCCCCAAAGAATGCCACAAAGCACGGTCCTGAGCCACCTGCATTCATCGACTTCCTGCATATCTTACCAGGTCGTCACTCCATCTAGTGGGGGGACGCCCTACACTTGATGACGGCCTCTCAATACATTTATGAAAATGTAATGTACATAAAAGTAGTTTTGCAAAAATAAGTGATATTCATTCTGTAAATACTAGGGACAGACACAAGCTAGTAGTACCAGTTACTCGACTCCATCGAGTCAGTAATTGATTCTTGGGGCGATGTATACGCTTTTACAACAAAATTCTAGAAAATATGCAAAATTTACCTGCTCAAAGTTTATTAAACTAAGTTTGTATAAAAATGGTTATTATAATGTTAAAGAATTTATGCATGATAATAATCCCTGGAAATGAGGTGATCGCTACCAAGCTATTTCTAATTTGTTGTGTTGTTAATTTGTGTAACATACATGATTGTAAGCTGTTATTTAAAAAAAAAGTCCCACTGGGTTTCTTGCTGGTTCTTCCCAGGACAGAGGTTTTTGTCGGACCAGTGGTAATTAAACAAAAGAGTGACTTTCAATAAGTATTATTTATAATCTATATTGAATAAAAAAGTTTCTGTTTCTGTTTTTTAAGTTGATTTTTAAACTATCTCTTTTGGTGAAAATAATTTTGAGTGTATTCGTTAACCTATATTGTACCCTATATCCATTCCACAATTAAGATGATTCTAACAATAACTTCCCACTATTAAGCGAACCCTGGAAAAGGGATATGGTCAGCAGTCAACTTTTGATAGACTGTAATAGTCATCATCATCATCATTACAGCCCTTCACAAGTCCACTGCTGAACATAGGCCTCCCCCAAGGAATGCCACAAAGCATGGTCCTGAGCCACCAGCATCCATCGACTTCCTGCATATCTTACCAGGTCGTCACTCCATCTAGTGGGGGGACGCCCAACACTTCGCCTGCCGGTACGAGGCTGCCACTCGAGAACCTTTCTTCCCTATCGGTTGTCGGTTCTTCGAGCTATATGGCCGGCCCATTGCCACTTCAGCTTACTAATCCGTTGGGCTATGTCGGTTACTCTGGTTCTACTGCGGATATCCTCATTTCTGAGTTTATCACGCAGAGAAACTCCGAGCATAGCCCTCTCCATAGCTCGCTGAGCGACCTTGAGCTTCCTCATCCGACCAACAGTGAAGGACCACGTCTCAGTTCCGTATGTCATCACTGGCAACACGCACTGGGTGTACAGTCTCGTTTTCAAGTTTTGAGGTATACCTGACGAGAAGATGTGCCGTAATTTCCCGAACGCTGCCCAACCTAGTTGAATCCGTACTGTACAGTAGATTGCAATAGTATGATACTAAAACTTCATCTATTAAAATTAATCAAGTGCTTTAGACTTGTGGCGGGGCTGTCGTCTCGCCACAAGCGAAACGCATGGAAGCCTAAATCGCGCTAACAGAGTTCCGAAGTTAAAGGAGTATATATAGAATAGCTCCGAACTACCACTCGGAGCGTTGGCCGCTCCCTGGGCAGAACACCTTGCCCGGCGGGAGATCTCCCCATTTCCTTCTTACGGCCACAGACTACAGAACATGTCAATGAAATATGTATACATAGTACATACATTTATACATGTGAAAAACATTACTCTCCTTCTGGAGCACTTCGCATTTCAATGTTTATTCTGTGTGTTTACTTGAGTGAACAAATATAGCAAGTTGAAAATTTATGTTTTTATAAAGATTTTTAGTGAAAATGAAAGATAATAGTGTTCCTTGTGATGAATTGAAGTGTGTTAAAGTGCTAATCAGCAAGGAAAAGGCAAAAACTTTAAACTTTGTTGAGAAATATGTATGCATATGTTTTCACCAATGACGTAATCAAATCTGTCCTTAAGAAAGAGAGATGATTCGATTGAGAATATAAATAATTAGTTTTTTTTTAGTTTTGTACATAGTTTGTTTGTACTTTGTTCATACTTTTCTTATGTTCATGTATTGTATTTATCTTTCTTTCGCTCAAGCAAACCCAAACGGCTTTTTTCAAAGCCACTGAAGAAATGCAATTGCTGATATGTTATACAATCTATCGAACAGTAGTATGCTTTCTGTGTGCTTTGGGAAACACATCCTCGACAGCACTGCATATGAAACTGAAGAGGGGAGACAGAGCAGATTTTTAACGTGGTAGAGCCATACTGCAGCTATATTAGTAGTATAGTTGTGACACAAATGGGTCGGCTCGACCGGGGAAGGACCACACTCTCACAGAAAACCAGCGTAAAAAATCAGCTTCACACTACTGTGTTTCGTATGGTGAGTGTAGAGAACCGGAGACCCTTTTTAGTGGCAAAGAGGCATTCCATCTTAGTCCTCACGGGTGACAACGCATCTGCATCTTGAGTATTTATTGAGGATAGATGTAGATGTCTATGGGTCACAGTAACCACTTACCATCAGGTGGACTATGTGCTCGTTTGTCACCCTATCTTATAAAAGAAAAAATCAAGATTGGTGTATTTTTATAAAACTGCTAAAAACAACAAAACCATATCTTGGGTTTGCCCTAGTTTGAAGCCCTAGCTTCGCCACTGCCGGTACCCACCGCGCATGTGCAGATTGTTGTATCCAGCCAATGGCAGGCGCCGATTCACCTGGCGACGAACACACTCGAGCGCCTCTAAAATCCGTTTCCACCATGCTAAGAAAGAGTGAATGTGTGCACCGTTTACCTAAGAAACTTTGTTCATAACTTGTAATTGTTTTAACCTTCCGTGAACCACGTGGATAAAAGTTACGTCCTGCACCACGTGGGGTTTTCTGGACCCTGATTATTATCGAGGAATAGAATGTGTTGTTTTAAATTATTTGTTTGTTTTTGTGTGTATAGTATTTTTGATTTGTTAATGGATAAAAATAAAATAAACTAGTCAAATAGAATAAACATTTTAATACTCTTATATATAAAAAACATAAAAGTGAGTTTTACACAAACTATAAATTATACTCTTCTTTGGCATAGCCTATATTAATAAAAATATTTTTGAAAAACCTTTATATCCTTTATTTTAAAGGCCAACATAATAAAAAATAAAAAACAGTGAGAGGTGGCTTAATATATTCAATCTTCATGAGATCCTGGGTATCTGAAGTCAGCACAGTTTTTACAGTAAAAATGTGCGTGCTCTAAGCATATAGATACTTCACATTTCTCACAACTGTACTTGGTCTTTTCTCCTGTCGCATTCTATATACCTTGTTTTAGATCTTGCTATTTTTATTAGCGGCTCCTGAGGTGTTTCACCAAATAAATCATATATGCGTTTATGAGAATCTTTCGAAATCCGTGGATTATCTTTACGGTTTCTCAAATGCTCATCTATCAGATCCATTCCTAAATCGCAAATAAACCTCCTTCTATGATTAGTTTTTACTGTTTCAATACAATTATTCAACATGTGTAAGATCATACCATTGATTCCCGCTTAATTGAGCATCGATAAAAATATAGTGAGTGGCCAGCGCCTAGAGTTACGAGACACGTCATATATCCTCGCCAGTTTATCCACCACATCCACTCCACTTTTAGTTTTATTGTAGAATGTAATCATGGATGGTTTTTGCTGGTTGCCGGTATCATCATCTATTTCTTGATAATGATGTAGAGACGACATAACGAATACGTGTTTGCGTGGCTTCAGTACATAAGAAACCAGAGTTATATCATTTTGGAAACCAAATCTTGAAGAATGTTCGTCTCGTGATAGCTTGAAACACAGTGGAATGCAAGTTTTATTGGCTTTCAAAGTACCTGTTACTGTTAGTTTATGTTTGAGTAGTAAATTTTCAGTAGCTTCGTAACTGGTGAAAAAATTATTCATTGTTATATTTCTTGAAGATCCAGAAACTCAATTCACCATATGTTCGACGATGTCATAGGGTTTGTTGCTGACTGCGAAAGGACTATTATCTGGTTGTTTACCACAGTAAATCTCTAAATGCATGGCGTAGTATGTTTTTGCATCTACTAAGGCATGTATTTTTATTCCATATTTTGCAGGTATAGATGGAATATATTGGCGGAAACCACATCTACCCCGAAAGGCAACTAACTCTTCATCTAGTGTTAGGTATTCAAAAGGTGTATACGCATTTCGACAACTTTGGACAAAGATCTCGAAAATGTCTCGGATTGGTGCCAAACGATCAGTCTTTATTCTTTCTTCCCTTGTCACAATATCATCAAATTTCAAATTATTGAGTAAAAACGAGAATCGATTTTTCGACATTGTGTAACGGAATATTTCAATTCCTGTACCATCATGAGCCCATAAATCATTGAGATTTTGTCTACTAGATCGATACAATCCAGCTAAAAATAAAAGCCCTAAAACAGCTTTTATTTCAGATTTAGTTGGTTCAGAATACAGCGCATTTATGTTTTGCCATCTGATGACTGTGGTTTAGATAAGCATATTCTTACATTGGTATATTTTACAACTATCTCTAGTATTTCATTGGAAATAAATGCTTCAAAACATTCCAAATGGGTCTTTTTGTCTTTATATTGACTCTTTACTCCCGGTAAATGTGTAATTTTATTTTCATTTCTTGTATATTAGTCCTTAGCGGTTCCTTTAGCCATTTAGTTTTGCAGTCTTTACCCATACAAAAATTGATAAGAACTAGAAAACTCACCACCCGAAGTAATTTCTTCATCTTCTTCACTTTCACATTCAGACTGCATACTCAAATGATCCGATTCATCTTTGCTTCCAGGTAAAAAGAGCTCGTCCAAATCGTCGTCACTTTCTTCCACAAGAGCAGATGCTATTGCATTGTCACTCATTCTATGAGCCATTTCCAATCCAAGGCACCTGTTGATAACAAGTTAACATAAAAAAACTGTCAAAAAAAGTAGAAAATAAAATAGTTTTACTGCATTTTACAAAAACATACTACTTACGTTTTAGACGACATCGAAAACAACATGGGGTTTGTGAGACCCTGAAGCACTTTGGATACGTTTGTACGCTGCGCCCACGACACGTTTACTAAATCGCTGTCACTAGGAGGTTTGGCAACGTCGCAACTCCAGCTACTTAAAGCATCAGAGCAAGAGTGCGAATATTTAAAGAATTACAGAAATTTTTGTTTCGCTGGGGTTTATTAGACCCCACATGGTGTACGGAAGGTTAATTAAGTTTAGTGTACCATGCAAAAGTAATATTAAAATACTTATGAAATTACCTATGTACTAACTTGTGCACTAGAACCTAGTATACCCCATTAAAGTTTTCATTTTAGTTTTGAATATACATTTTATGGAATGCAATTATCAGTTTTAAATGTCCTATTTTGCTTGCAAGATGAGTATCCATTAATTAATTGAAATTGATAAATTTTATATGAGAGAGACAACCTAGTTTTTCAGAATCACATTCAAAATATGACATCTGTAATATCATCTACATTACAGCCCTGAGTATAAGCAGCAGTGCCCAAGTAGTGCCACAGGACATGGTCATAAGTCATCCGATATCAGAGATTAGAAACAGAAACAGAAACAGAAACTTTTTTATTCAATATAGATTATAAATAATACTTATTGAAAGTCACTCTTTTGTTTGATTACCACTGGTTCAGAGAAAACCTCTGTCCTGGGAAGAACCAGCAAGAAACCCAGCGGGACTTTTTTTAAATAACAGCTTACAATCATGATGTTACACAAATTAACAACACAACAAATTAGAAATAGCTTGGTAGCGATCACCTCATTTCCAGGGGTTATTATCATCCATAAACTCCTTAATATTATAATAACCCTTTTTATACAAACTTAGTTTAATAAAGTTTTTGAACTTTGAGCAGGTCAAACTTTGTATATTTTCTGGAATTTTGTTGTAAAAGCGTATACATCGCCCCAAGAATGAATTACTGACTTGATGGAGACGAGTAACTGGTACTACTAGCTTGTGCCTGTTTCTAGTATTTACAGAATAAATATCACTTATTTTTGTAAAACTACTTTTATTTTTGTGTACATACATTACATTTTCATAAATGTATTGAGAGGCCAAAGTTAATATATTAATTTCCTTAAATTTTTGTCGCAGCGACTCTTTAGGCTTTAAATCATAAATTGCTCTTATGGCCCTCTTCTGTAAAACAAATATAATTTCAGTGTCAGCTGCGTGTCCCCATAGCAAAATACCATACGACATTATGCTATGGAAATAGCTAAAGTAAACTAGTCTAGCTGTTTCAACACTGGTTAGACTTCTAATCTTTTTTACAGCATATGCTGCAGAACTAAGTCTGCTTGCTAGTTTTGATATATGGGGGCTCCATTGAAGCTAGTTGGTCTAGTGTAATTCCAAGAAAAATGGTGGTATCTACAAAACTCTGTTTCTCCCCATTTAAAATTACATTAGTATTTAATTGTTTGACATTTGGAGTCAAGAATTTCATACATTTCGTTTTAGTGCCTTTAGAATAATAGATTCATTTGTTATTCAATATAAATAACATGTAATTTTTATTGAAAGTCAGTTTTTACTTTATCCACGTATTAAATTTCTATAAATAGCAATAGATTGCAAACAATTAGATATCAATCATTTTACGATAGTAAAATTGTCACACATTGGGTTGTGGACAGTTTATTACTACAATTAACCAAAATAAAAGTAATAATACCTTCGGAACTTGAATTTTTACGTTTTCTTCCTCCTCTAATCTTTAAATTTCTTTTTTTAAACGTCGTTGGAATTTCAACTTCTACGTCTGACATTTTTATAATTTCTTAAAACATATAACTGATTTGATTTTGAAGATCACTTAAATTGTTAGCAAGCTAAAAAGTCCTATAATGTAGTTTTCCACAATCACAATTTTCAAAGTATTGATAACATTACAATTCGTTAATTTCATAATAATAAACAAACCTCTTCCTCTTCTGATTCTGACAGTGACAGTGACAACATGACTAAGATTTTTTATTAAGATTTTTGCCTTGGATGCTTGCTCTATAAGCCATGTCTTCATTTATCTCAGTATCAAATGATAATAATAATCCTTTAGTGCATTGCTTCACAATATGGTGATGCGTCACCTTGTGTAGTTTTTGGGAAATTTTTATGGTAACGTGAGCCAGCAGACAGTTGGCGATAGTATCTCAAAGCTCCTAAGCGGACAGACATCTTATCTTGAGATTCACATCACTATCAGAGGTCAGAGCAGTTGTTTCACCGTTCGCACTAATAGTTCACATGCGCAGATATTTAATGCACAAAACCACTTTGACATAATAATCCACTTCAAACCATTATTTAAACAATAATTTAGGAGCAGCAATTTGTCATCGCGCCGGTCAAGTTACCGCCAAAACTCCAACTGACAAAGATAAACAATTTTTATGGGTTATGTACAAGGCAGAATTCAGAAGTAAGTTTACTCAATAAAAAAATTGAATTAATAAACAAGTATTAGGCAATAAAATAATATATAGTTTAATAATCATAATCCACCGAATTAGAATCAGACATAATTGTATCACTTTCAGTATCCGTTTCTAACCTAGTGGAGTCGCTATCGCTGTTTTGACCTATAGAAATAATTAATTCTCTTTCGTGAATTTCTCCTAATCTATCTTGTTACCAATACTTTTCACGCAAGCGATCCACGTGATATACTTCCTTTTTTCAATCACTTGGTGTTATACTTTTGATAGCATTTTGGGTTAAGTTTAATCTTTCTCTTTCGGATTGGATTACATTTTTATCTGTGACGCGCTGTTTTATTAAACTCCATACATACTCTATAGGGTTTAAATCGCAGTGATACGGTGGTAACCAGAGAACTTCACGATCATGTCTTTTTAACAATTCGTCAATCAAATATGTCTTAGGTTGCATTGTTATTTAGATTAGATGGTATAATTCTTTTTTGGTCATGTTTTCATCATAGGTGATATTATGATCACGTAACCAATTCTGCATGTTCTTTAAGTGATGAGGAAGTCGGCCGTTTTTGTATATGCTTGCCATGATAAGGAGTATTATCAATAACTACTTTGCCATTTGGAGGTAAGTTCGGAATGTAGCCATTCGTGGAACTCCTACATTTGTAAATTAGTTCTGCGTTTTCTATGAAGCCATTCTTACACCCAGCGTGAACTATAATCCACCTTTGGTCCGAATTAAAATTCTTTTTTACAGTAGCATCTAGAGAATTTTACCAGCATTTGGTGACGGCGTAATGACTATGAATCAAGGTTTCATCGACGTATGTGACAGGTTTCTTATCAGTACCAAGTTCGTCATTTTCCTTTAATCGTCGTAAAAATCTTGCTCTCCAGCCGCTACTCGTATATTCGGTTTTTGTACAAGTAAATCTCTGATGTTTTTACATTTTCGGAAACTATAATCCAGCTTTTCTTTTAATATTTTCTCAATGTTGTTTTTTGACCAGGAAAGTTCAATTTGGTTTTTGCAACTGCTAATATTTTTCTGACAGTTGATATTTCTTTTTTTAAGCTATATAGTCCACAACATTTCTAATAGAACAAATGGTAAAATCGTCAATATTTACCTTCTTTCCACTAGGCTTCTTTTTCTTACTAGGTGTTCTAAGTTTTACTTCTTGTGTATCAGCCGATGTACCTGGTGTAGGTGTAGTGCTTCTAAGCTTCTTGGCTTCATTATTTATATTTCCTAGGGTTCAAATAATCACCCCAGTGGCCTCACTAGCGCGATCTAACGCAGGTTCAAAGGGAATTACAGGCAAACCTTTTTGTTTTTCCTTCTCGAAAAACTTTAGAACCTTTAAAATAATGTCACGTTTTCCACCGCGATAGGCGAAGACACCTTCTTAGCGGTCAGCCACCGCAGAGTCTATATTACCTGAAGGTGCCTCGTGTAGAGGCGAAACACGTGTCGTATTGTCTTCGGTGTTGTGTCTCTCCTAGTGTAGTGGTGTTGAGAGTAGTTGTGCTGGGATTAGTGGTGACGGCGATAGTGCACGCAAAAGAGGGAGGACGGGAGGTGCCCTTCAAACTAGGTAAGACACATCATTTTATTTTATCGAGCGGATGTACGCGAAGTAATTTTTTACCAACTTTATTATTCATATTTCTTAAGGAGGAATCTGGCTTAACGATTATAAATTATAGAATAACTCCAGAACGCTTCTCTTTCGCTGTGAAATATGTGTAAAGACTTGTTAACTAATTAGTGCCTCTTAGTTTTAAAACAGTCTAAATTTATCAATCAGAACTTAGTGAAAACTTCACTTGAAGATCTACATATTACATTTCAATATCGGCACAGTCATGCACACATATTACAAATCTTTAAATTTGTTTTTAGTTTTATACCTTAGAAAAAGATATCTTTTAATGTTTTAATAACAATCAATTTCGTTTGAGCAAGTAAAAGAAAATTACAGTAATTTTGTATATGTGCAGTTCACACGCGGTAGAAGTGAAATCTTCAGAATAGGAGATCGAGATAATAGGAAACACTATATAAATATGTTCTATGTCATTTTCTCGCAGGCTAAATCCTGTAGATGTATATGTTGCATGCTTTAAGCACAAAGTGCGTAGGTATTTTGTCGTATGAAATCGTATCTAGCAATCATATTGAACATATAATGATATAAAAAGCACATTGTCAGAAATTTTTAATCTCTTCATTTATCTTGCGGGAAGCCATGGAATGTAAATGGCAGTTAAATTTTGTTTTGTTTAGTAATAATTAATTTTTTTCGGATGAGGAAAAGTTTCGGATAGACCACATACATACCCTTCGGCAAGTTGTACAGAAGTCCGAGGAGTACAATTTGCCACTATGCCTGGCGAATGTGGACTATGAGAAAGCCTTTGATTCCGTCGAAATTTGGGTGGTGCTGCAGTCCCTTCAGCGGTGCCAAGTTGACTGTCGGTATATCGAAGTGCTGAAGTGTTTATACAGTAGAGCTACGATGGCTATCCGAGTACAGAACCAGAGTACGAAACCTATCCAATTGCAGAGAGGTGTAAGACAGGATGACGTTATATCCCCTAAACTCTTTACCGCTGCATTGGAAAACGTTTTCAAGCTTCTGGACTGGAAAGGATACGGTATTAACATCAATGGCGAGTACATCACTCATTTCGATTTGCCGACGATATAATCCTTATGGCAGAATCGCTGGAGGACCTAAGCATTATGCTTAATGACCTCAATAGTGTCTCCCAACGGATAGGTCTTAAGATGAACATGGACAAAACAAAGATTATGTTTAATGTCCATGTTACACCTATGTCGGTAGTTGTTGGGAGCACTGAGCTCGAAGTTGTTGATGAGTATGTTTACCTGGGACAAATAGTCTGACTAGGTAAGTTCAACTTCGACCGAGAGGTCAATCGACGGATTTAACTCGGCTGGGCAGCGTTTGGGAAGCTACGACACATCTTCTCGTCAAACATACCTCAAAACCTTAAAACGAAATTGTACAACCAGTGCGTGTTGCTAGTGATGACTTACGGATCTGAGACGTAGTCCTTCACTGCTGGCCGTATGAGGAAGCTCAAGTTCGCTCAGCGAGCTAGAAGAGGGCTATGCTCGGAGTTTTTCTGCGTGATAAACTTAGGAATGAGGATATCCGCAGTAGAACCAGAGTAACCGACATAGCCCAACGGATTAGTAAGCTGAAGTGGCAGAGGGCCGGCCATATAACTCGAAGAACCGACAACCGATAGGGAAGAAAGGTTCTTGAGTATCAGCCTCGTATCGGTAGGCGAAGTGTAGGGCGACCCCCCACGAGATGGAGTGACGACCTGGTAAGACATGCAGGAAGTCGATGGATGCAAGTGGCTCAGGACCATGCTTTGTGGCATTCCATGGGGGAGGGCTATGTTCAGCAGTGGACTTATGAAAGGCTGTAATGATGAATGATAACGATGAACTGGATTTAGTGCTCGACCGACGGTCAGCACGTACCGTATTCGCTGACGGTACGTCCTGATTGTCGGTCGAGGCTTAACTGACGGCAAGCTTTGTTAGACGTGTACAATTACGAAGAAAAATGAATCCATTTATTAACTCTATAATATGTGCGTACTATTTACGCAAACGATTACGGTTTCAAAGACGGAGAAGATATCATGTGCACCCAATAATTGTAGACCGTTTAATTGAAGGAGAATTTTGTTCATTGTATTCGAAATTGCGAGAAGAATGTTCATGTATCAATGTTCATTTTTGTTATAATGCGTACGCCCGTACGGTCGGTCGTTCCGTCATAGCGCATCAGTCAACCGACGTACGTCGGACCGACGAGTTAGACCGACGTAAGCGCGTAGTACTTCATCAGCGCTGCGCTGTAGCCGTTAATAGGTTCTCATTGATATAGCTACGCTCAACCGTCGGTGCGAGCACTAAATCCAGCCTTAGACCGTGACTAGGTATTGATGTGTTACTGCGAAAAAGCCGTTCAAGTCCGCTGTTGTATAAAAAGCTTTACTGTTTTTGGGAGAATTTGTGATATACGGACTGGCAATCGCAGTACTACATAGACGTTTCACACATTTGACTCTGCTGCCCTCCGCCGGTCTGGGTGTTTTACGTCTGGCGTAAGTGAGATGTTTATTCTATGCCATCTATCGGAAGTCCTAAAAGTTTCCTGGCGTTACCCGTCAATGCTACCAAAAACAATCACGGGACGAAATGGAATGATGGATGCTTCTCTTGTTACCATAAAATAGCGAACGCTTAAATAAGGTGAAAGTTAGTTATCAAACTTAGGGTT